ATTTCTTTCACAAATATTTGAATAGTTGTAATCATAAATTTATTCCGTTTACAGTTGAGAACCAAGTTGATGGTGAGTGAGGTTTCTGCGAACCTGAAACTGTAGAGTAAAATATATTACATATCAACAATTTTACACATAATTACCAGCTCATGTTTTATCGGTTGCCAAATGGTGAAACCGATAACTCATGCTAACGGCCGCAGACCGGATCTCAAGATCACTTGAGCTAACAAATTAGTCATTACTCTCAATAAAGTCACAGAACATTGTTCCTTGTTACGTATTACTCAAAGATCGTTCCTTCAAAGCACGAAATTCGTAATCCATTGATTTGTCTACTGTGGAAGAACAACACAAGCAACTGGATTAAATATTGTGACGAGGCGTTCTATTAATTGAAGCCCATAAACATCGCCAGATTGTTTGAAACGCACTACGTTACAGCCATGCCCAAAAATGTAGCAGCAGACGCTTCAGAGTACGGCTCACGTGGTGTTGCTTCATACCATTTTCCAAACGCTTCAGAAACATTTGTTACGCAAGCACTTCGCTTACTAATCACGCAATTAAAAAATTTTAGTTGGTCACATTTTACCCGAGTTTCTATGCAGTCGATGGCTTATGCTTCCCACAGATTTCAAGCCTCTGCTCGCAATAACGGAGTGAAAGTCTATCGTTTCAGCCCATTCTACAGATCGTCTCCAGCAAAGAGCCTTGATACTTTTGTGCTATGATTTGGAGACACAAAACTTAAGCATCTAACAGTTTGGTCACACAGATGCTTTATCACAAGTTATTAGTGATCAAGTGGCAGCTGATGAAAACCTGATAGTCGTATCTCTTTCAGTGGAGGACGACGGGTTATGTTATCTGACAACCACATTGCGAGCATTGCTTTTGTCTGCAACAGATATGCAAAACGCTTCTAGGAAAGACTCAATCATCAAGATGACGATGAGGTTTTTCACCAACGGTTGACTGTCTAAGAGGTTTGCTGATGACGTATCTACGAGGGGATTTTATATCCACTGTTACCAATTGCTTGATGTTTGGAGAAAGAGTGGTAGTGCCAAAGTGCCGAAATAATTACTAATTGGTAATCTAGTGATCAGGCGAATGAAACCTTGAACCAGAAATTAATGAAACTGGTCCCTCATTAATCAACATATAACTAAGCTAGTATCATTATGCGTAAGGTTTCAGCGGGAGTCAGAGAAGAATGATAAAGTATCAAAAGTTACATTGCCACAATCAGATGATTCAGGAAGAACTCGTAACAGCGCTAACCGATAAGAAGTATTTGAAAAAGTGAATTAACTTCATGCATCATCAGTCACATTAGTAATTACAGATTATTCTATTACAACAATCAATCATTTTAATCAATGTTGTGATGTTGTATTTTGAAACATCTTCACGTGACATTGAAGAAAAATGCATGGGTAAGTAATTGTTGCTTCGCAAGGTACTTTTTTAACTTGAATACACAATACTGATCTTGAAGTTTGTAGGTGATCAGTAAGAGCATGAAGTGTACCCACTGCCTCTTGTAACTAAGCAGTGGATTATAGGTATACAGTGTTGGTATTAGTTAGATTACCAGTACTTCTTGTAAAATTGTCACAATACAATGCTACCAACTCACCATGTTGAGAACGCTGTTTTACGCCAAAATCACATAATCGTTTATCCTGACTGCCGATAACTCAACAGTCATTTTTGCTGAAAGACAGAGACTTTGAGGAAATCATTTAGGCTGAAGATAAATGTTCTGTAAGAACATACTGTTAAAGCGTCAATGAATTTTAAACTGACTGATATCAAGCTGTTTATTCTGCAAATTAACATCAGGTAACATTGTTCGGTCTTTTCATATTATTTTTAAAACGTGTATTTAAATAACGGTAAATTTATACTGCATCATAACCACGTCCAAAGGAATATACAAAACTAGAGGTGAGTGATTATTTCTCCTGCTTTTCAAGATTTATCTGACATTCGAATTCTAACCGCTTATAACACAATGCTAGGTAATAGGTCTTGCAAGTGCTAAACATTTGTAAAGCGGTTATAGAGGCTATTTAGTGTAAACCAGCGGTAGTGTGTTTAACTAGCTTTGAAAGTAGTCTGATTGTTTATGGTGCTACGGTAATAGCTGAAATGAAGTTCTGTAGATTGACAAACATAATCGTTGATTGTAAGGAGATTTCAAGAACACGTTGAGACAAGTGTAGGGGATAAAATATAACTCTCATCAGTAGGACAAATGTCAAATAACTTGAAAGAGACAAGACGGAGAGCAAGCGAAATTCTTCCTTCAAAATTATTCTAGTGTATTTATTTATTGAAATATTCTTTCGAACTGTCGCTGCCTGAAATCTGCTTCGTTTCATTGAAACATATCTTCATACGAAATTTTGAATGAAGTCATAAGTAAGTTATTAGTTTGCAGTCGCTAATAATTCATAGTTTATTCAATAGCGTTTTATAATCATGTCATCGCTTATCGTATTTCTTTGCAAACTTCTTACATTTCAATTTATTGCAGACATAACTGGTAAGTTATTTTACACGTACACTTTTTTGTTTATTTCATATTCCATTTTTCATGATCGACATCGATTGCTCCTTGTTCTTCTCCTGCTATATATTCAAACTTACCGAGTACATACATGTTGACTTCAAGCAATTCTGAAGAGTAGAATACGGAATAAAACCGAACGTATTCAATACACGTCAAAAGGTTTCGATGTAGGTCCAGATGTCTTTCCTAGCTGACTTCACTGCAGCGTACAGAAATTTATTTACTTGCTAACAGAGCATTTGTTTACATTTTACGGTATCCATGCAAACAAATGTGCAGCTACAATTATATTTCAAGATAACTATTCAGCACGAACACATAGATAAATATCTTGCCAGCTCGTTGATAAAATTAGCGACTCTGCATTTGAATGTGTACCCTTCATGTATGCGACTAGCTCCGCTGTCATACTTCTGTACCTAGACAGTACTGGATGGTCATAATAAATCGACTGAGCCAGTTATTTTGATAGGCGTATACCGAGTAAAAAATCATTCGTGTAACAGTAGTAATAACAGTGACTTCATAGGTTCACTTTAAATAAAACTCTCTCTACATTTCTCAAATAAACCTACTTTATCCAGCGAAAAATCCGTCAATCTGACTAGATGAGTAACCATCTCTCATTGACAACATAATAGATACTACTGATTGTTGTGAACTCCTCATTACATATTATCATGACGGAGCGATATGTAGGTTTAATAAAGAAAAGTGGGCAAAAGTATGTTGAAGAATGGACAAAAATAAGTGGCAAATTACACACGCACTTCAATCTACAATTTGCGGCCTAAAACTCGAAAAAATCTGCAGTAGTTAGTATCGAAAAACTGGCTCACACTTTCTAAACTATTTTTTTGAATGAAAGATCAAGATCCTTGATTCACGAGTTCATGAAATGCCTCAGTTACAAATTGAAAATACTGGGTGATGAGCCTCAATAAATCAGAAGCTCGTTCCCAGCACGGGGACTGAAGATTTCAATCTCACTGCCATAGGCTGACAATGCAGTCAAAAGAAGTGTGCTTGTTTTTTCAACCGAAAGCATGTAACATTTACGAAGTGGCACTATAAGTGTATTCATGTATAAGCAAACATCTCAAAGTTAAATAGTACAATATTATAATTATGCAAATGTTGATTTAACGCAAACGGCTACGATATTGATTTCAGGGAATAAGGAGTTGTGGAAAACATATGAAAACAAAAGCAGTCCAAATATGTTTTTATGAACATTTTGCTCAACCTAACGCTGATGCTCTAGGTCGTCAGTGAGATTTCTCTCCGTAATGACAGCTGAGAGAGTGACCTTCGTTTATAACAACTAGTAACTTAGACACATGCTAGTACTGAATATATTATGGATGATGTCAGAGATCAAGCAATCATACACTGCCTGTGATGACAATATAGTGCACCTAATTGGAAGCTATTCTCATCATTGTTTAAAATGTTACTTAAGCCCACGTCATGATGTTTACGATGTTGTCACAATTTCTCCCTTTTAAAGAGACAAATACAGACTACAGACTAAGAAATAAAAATGTGATGGTTTTTGAGGTCAGATTGATTGAAGAAAAACTATATCCATTTAAATTATCCTCTGAGAGCCGGGGGATGGCGCGTAATATCATATGATACAAAAGTATGAACACGGACCTGTTTACGAGGCTCAACATTACCCCATCGTTGAATTAAAGTGCATCAAACGAAACATGTAGGTTCATGCACACGTCATATCATAAGGATTTGCGTTCCCAGGAATGCTTTTCAACAACAAGGTAACTACAAAAAATTCTGGTGTAGGCCTCGAAAAGAGACGCGAACTCAAACCAGCTGTGCCTGATATATGTCCAGAGATTTATATAGGGTTTTGAATAGCATTTGCTTTCACAAACATTTAATTCCTTCTAGCTTTTCATAGCAATTTCTTCTAACTTGCTACACTTCTGTCTTTTTAAAAAGTATCCAAAGCCAGTTGTTAAAACTGATAAAATATTTATCCATGAAATCTCATAGTCATTATTATTTCCTGTTAATAAGTGAATACATTCCAACTGACAAATCTCCAGGTGCATATTGTGAAAAGTGCTCATATTCTGGTCTCCTTCTCCTTCAAGTCATAATAATTCATTGAATGTATTTTAAAAAAAGTTTCTTCACTAATTGCATTCTGAGCATGGTTAGTATAGTCAAATGACTTGACTTTCATTTTTTGAACATCGCCGAATACCTCCAACCGTTGCAAAGAAACGAGAAACCAGCGCAAGCGGATGGATGAGATTAAACTATATAACTAATATTAGAACTCCGATCTCAGGAACTATATAAAAACTTGATGCAAAGGCTTTTCATTGGTTGGCCAGACAAGTCAACCATGTGGGTAAAGTTTATGTGTATTTAGAATTTTACGATGTCTTCCAAAGGTAAGTGAAATTTATTTGTTCAATTTGGTGTGTTATATTGTGAGCTAATTCACATGCTCTGAATTTCAAAACTTTCCATTCTACAGATCGGAAGCCACAAAATTGTAAGTTGTGAATGACTTTGAGTATCAACTTATTTCATGTTGAAAGGAATGCCACTGGCCTTGTCTGCCTACATGTGCATTAAACATAACATTGTTTTTAATTACGTAACTTTGAGACTGAAAAAAGTTTATCTAATTTTGTCAGTAAAGTTGAGCAGAGTAGAATAAATATTCATGCGTCAGGAAGTTTCAAATTTTGTATCTAAACAGAATAATGTGCAAAGAATTGCGAAGATGCGTAGTATTTGAACTGCTAGAAATGCGTCCGTGCAAGCAATTGCTGAAAACATATGCTATCGAGTACACAATAAACGTGACGTGGTATCTGGAAAGTACAAATGGTATATTCACTCGACTTTAAGGTGACGTAGGTTGAAATGTTGATTTACATCAATATTATAAATTATCGGTGGACGGAACTCAACGAGACTTAAGATTCGTTTCTTAGTGGCTATATTCATTTATAACTTATACGCGAACTCAGATTAAGGTGACCTACAGTTTAGCCGTATTGCAATCACTATATGTGAAACGAAAATCTATGCACTATCTCAACAAACAATGTGCGTATAAAAGGAACAGATACATTGTGAAAGCAAGAAACAAGTTGAATACAATGGCATGACGTAAGTGACAACTATTCATTAGGTGCTTGAAATTCTTGTCTCGTGAACCGACCGACATTTCAGGCATATCGAATCAAAAGATCGCAAATCAAACTTGCGGTGATACTTTGCATCAGATAAATGGCAGCAGACTGTATTGAGCTGTGTGTTATCGGTGTCTGAAATCAGAAAGCAACAAATAGTGGCTCGCGGTGTATACCATATTATTTTCTGAGTGTCAGTGTACTGTTATTCTGACCTCGATAGTATTCATTATATCCATGCAACTGTACTTATATTTACAATATAAAGCTATCGACTCACCATGACGTTAATACTGCCTTCGCAGGAGTCATGTCAAAAGGTGACCAAGGTTATTGTGTGTTGAAAGAGAATTTTGAGTAACTGTTTGAACTGGTGATAAATTACCATATTTCGCATCAGCAGAACAAAGACGTGGCTTCATATTTTTATCATTGATGACTAACGGCTGTTCTTTGCGACAAATAATTTACCGAAGGTGCCGACAATCACTGTGACTTTGTAGCACATGAAGGTTCGTGTATAACTAATTAAATATTGTTGCGCTGAATTTTGTTATATTCTCAGCTGAACATTTGAAAGAAATCAAAGGTAACTGTTTGTTTTCACAGTTAACAGTTCTGTAATTGAAACAAATACAATGAAATTGGAAATACAAATCAAAACTATGTGAAAGAATTTGCAATCCCGGTGCTCGAAATAAAAATGCGATATCTGAGTGCTTGATGAGTGCAAATCTTGATTTTCAGTGTACTTGTATGATGTGTGCCTAGCGTTGATTGTAGTCTTTGCATTTATTCTGTAAGAGTGACGATCACAAGATAGCACTAACTACTAAGCTTGATAAGAATATTGCTCAGTCTTTATGATTTTACGCTCAGTTCATATGATTTCACAGTAGTAGGATAGATATTGTCCCTTTGGAAATTAATTATTATATAGAAGACTAGAAGCAAGCAATCATTGACTAGAAACTCATACAATTGGATAGCGATAATAGATTTTGCAATAACGTTTTTTCAAATATATGATTTTTTTTTGTAATAAATTATTTTCCGTTTATTGAAAGATGCATTCATGCAGTTCGCAAAAGGTAAGCGAATACTATCAAATTGCATAGTTTTCAGTTACGCTAAATGAATCAGCTCTATTGATAAGGAACTTTTCGATTGGTACATAGGGCTGGGTGAATATGGAAATGGTCATTTACGGTTTAAAGTGTACATCACATTATTCCTGTTTTATTGGTAGCGCATATCTTTAGGTTTAGTGATAATCACTTGTTCTAAACTCATAGACAAATAATCAGAATGTATCGCTGTCGAATCGAAACGAAGCGACTGCTTGAAATAACGTTTAGATTTAGATCACAGACACACCAAGGCTTATACTGACTTGCTCATTCAGGACTGTAATTATCATCACAGAACACATTCAGCATGATGATTGAGTGACCACTTTCACAGACAAAATACAGATATAGTGTTAAAGAATTTGGTGCTGCTAAACTGACCTACTGAACTTGTTCACGAATAAGAATTAATAGCTGGTGCCAACGTTGAAATGGTAAATAAACTATAGTGTGACAATTTATATATTTCAAACCTGGGATTATGAAACCGTATTAATAACTTTAAAAATAACTTGATTCCAAGATTCAAGAAGAATTAAGCGTAAGTTAATAATTTACTCTATTGCACATATTTATAAGAATAATTAGATACACACTACGGAAGTTCAATATGAGATATTTAGCGTACAGGGTGCCTGAATTCAGACAAGTTTCCGGAAATTGATAGTCGCCACTCCTTATGATGAGAATTTGGCCCAATATAAATGATAATAAGTGAAATCCGCATTTTTTTCATGCGGAGAAGTTCAACGGCGATTTTAAATATTTTTGAGTGTAGGTGGCTCTACGTGGTTTTTAAAACGTTTGATTTTATATTAACTTCTATTCGTTTCAAATTATATATCTAATGTTATATGAATAAAAAGAGAGAGGTATGTCAGAAGTTCATTCTTTTTTTCCCTTCCAATTTCCTTACATAAATCTCTATTAAGCAGGCGCATTACTTCCACATATGAATACGTAGATAATCACGAAATCCATTATTGAAAGATTCGTGTATGCGCGTTTATCTAAATTCCATATTGTTGAGCTCATATATTCTCTTATCGGGATGTCAGCAATCTAAAGCTTTTAATAATCCACTGCCGAATCGAAATGATTTTTTTTGTTGGAGACATATGTTGCATATGTTACACTGAGAACTGACATCAAGAACTAAGTTCGTTTTAGAGAATACACCCGCACGGATGACAGATAAGCATGTATCATAGTTAAAAGACAAAGAATCAGCGGAAGGATTAGTACCTTGGGTGAACGATAACATGTAGTTGTTTCTGCAAATTAAGTACATCTACTAGAAATTATGAAGTGAATTACAGACTTTCAATCTGTTTTTATGAACAAGTTAAACATTATCAAAATTTTATATTGCATAACTTCATCATGTGCAGATTCGGATAGAAAATTCCGTAAGATCATATTTTCAATGTTACAATTTATTCATGATATTGAACAATATTCAAAAAATATTGAACTGCAAACTATACATCAATTTAGAATTGCTTGAAATTAAAGACTTTATTGCAATAAAATTGAGGTCAACACCAAGTTGTCTTTTAGAAACCGTTTGCGTTGGAGTCTTCACCTAATTGCAATTAGCTCATCGATTCCGCTTAACTGATAAGATTAATGTAATGAATGCTCAGTCTTTTCGCTTAGATGTAGTCATTGCAGAATTTACAGAGAGAAAAAATTTGTGAATGAGAATTCTCAGCAGCAGTCACTCATGACAAAGTTAACTACTGTGTATATAATGCTTTTTTTCAAATGTCCCACTAAATGATAAATGATTTGAATAAAAATATATTCATGTGATATTTCAGTGAAGTGTATACGTAAGCCGATTACTCAATACAGTTAATTTCCAATTTTGGAATTTATTGATCTCCTTGATACGCGAACATCTTATCGACTCTGCGTTGCGTAGTCTGAATGATCTTCACGCACCAACTAAGTGCGTAAAATGCACATCATAGAATTTTCATATTACTTGTACTACTACTGTTTGTAGGAGTGAGAGCATCTCTGCCCCAGGACTAGAGTAATGTCGTTACTTTTGCTCAACGAACTTCATTTACAGGAGAAATCACATCATTGTATATCCTGATTCATCAAATCTGGCCGGTCGACATCTTTGATTTAAAGAAGTTATAAAGAAAACCTATGTTATGATAGAATTTTTATAGTTCAAGGTAAAATAGTAGTGAAACAGAGTCGATGGATGTTTACAACCAAGTCTTCTATCAATTGTTTTCGGCTAGTGATCCAGTTGTAACGAACTTGGTTGTGTAAGAAAAGAACTTATAGTTTAGTTTACAAATGTGATAATAATTATCATAACACGATCGTTCAAAATGTTCGCCTTTTATATTCTAGGTGATTGCGACCGTAGGTTATATTTTTATTTCTTTTCACTTATAATACTAAGCACTCATATGACATCCCATAGCTCAAGTTGTTTGAATAAAATTCGCTGTGCGATATTGTGCTCTGCATTCAGTTGAAGTTCAATTGTGACAATTATTATCGTAAGGTAAACTCCAATTCACTTGTAGTGTGACCGCATCATGTAGTGCAAACGGTTAGTTGATAATAGACTAATAGACGTATAGGTATGCTATCGACGACGTAATGATACTTCTGCTCAATCTATACGATTTTTACTTGGCAGTCACATTAATTTCGAACACGATTAGCTTACATTAGAGGTATGAATGACAAGATTTTGAGATGCTTTGAAGAAAACATTCAATATGGTGATCACCAATATATTTCACGAGGCGAACAAATCGATTGTGTTGCAGAATTTTTAACAAGGATTATGGACAACAAGTTGCTGTGACTATGAGTTCACTGAGAGTGCTCAAGATCACATTGTAAATTATATATTATGCAATACTGATTTATGAAAACAAAATCAGGTTCGCGAATATTTTATTGTCATTTACTCACTTTTACTTCCGAAGAGTGCAAAGGTGAGTTTTCATTTGCTGAAATGTACCTTTAACTACGAATGGATGAATCACCTGTATTCACAACGGAAGAAACATAGAAACATTGTATGATTTTGTTCATTGTAGGCGCATGAAATTTAAAAGCACTAATTCACATCTCCTGGTGACAATCAAATAAACTGGAGGTCGTGTCTATAGGCTATTCTCTGCGACTAGACAAATAGACTTGATGCGATGCAATCGACTCAGCAAGGCATAACTGCTGAAAAATCCTGATAGTTTTGCAAATATGGCATATCGTCGTATTGGCCAACTATGTCATTACAGTCTGTGTATTCGATGATCAGCACTCTCGACGGAGAAATTCCTTCTGACTATAAAATATATTTTGCATGAGCGCGTCAGATACATGGCGTTTAAGAGTTATTATCAGAGATCACCGAATGATTAGTTTTCAAGATTTCAGTGCAACAGTAACATAATTGAGTAAATAGCATAAATTGAATTTCATTAGTCGAGTTATAAAATATTCTATACATGTCTTTGAGCATTCCCTGTACGTCCTGTTTTAGTTAAATGCATTAGTAAGTTATCACCTTATTACAATTCAGTATTCAATGAAATTTAGTTTTAACTATTCCATTTCGACTGAACGACAACGCATTGTGTGAGTTTTTGCACTGGATGCGACCATTTAAGCTACAGATGAACTTCACTTAGTTTGCTCTTTGCAGCTAGCATATGAGTTCAGTGGGAGCGTTAGTCAGCTCTTCTATGTTGCAATACTAATATCCACATTGTAAAGTTATTTACTCACCATGATCTGACTGTTGACAATCTCTACAACCTTTCGGTGAATTCACACCATCCTTTGTGCTCACTCTATACTTCGTGAGTGACGAAGTTTTTGATTTTTTTCTACCTTGAAAAAATTCCTTCTGGAAAAATTACCAAATATTTTCAATGAGGATCAGAAATGTCAAAGAATTTTTAACTGTGATGGCATACAACAGGTAGTTGTACCGTTGATTTCATTGCAGGTGCTAAAACTGATGTTTTGGACAACAGACTGTGCAATATAGTTTTTTGTACATATTATAAAATATTCTACTCAATTCCTAATGAAAAGTGTTTATGTGTTTCTTAAGAAAACTGTGAACGTGAGTTATTATTTTTTTTACTTCCGTTTTTAATTTCAAACTATTATTGAGTGCTTGGAGTTTACATCATGTTGTTTACAGTGCATTAGTAGTGTATTCCTTCATTGATTTGTATTAGTCAAGTTATCTCTCCTCATAGATGAAGAGTCACCGTGAAATGCTGCCTGCCTACTCTGCATGCTATATCGTCAACGTCACTTCATAGTTCATCCTGAATAGACAAAGCTGCACTGTCCATATTTTTCATAAAAATACTTATGAAGAGGAATTTATTACAGACATGTTTGATAACTTTCATTCAAGGTAGTTGTCAGAATCATCGTAGTGATTACTGAATTTACAACACTATTTTACAATCTGAACATGTATAGTAAAAAACTAACCACGCTTAAATGTAATTTTTACTTTCCTTAAATTCTACTTAACATCTAGCTTTCTCAGATTTTGTTTTGCTGTTCGCGTTTCAGTTTGTTTCTACTTACATTTTTGCCTTTTTCAGACTTATACATTCGATTTTGAAGTTGGATTCGTCGATGCACAAGAAACTATTATGGAAACATTTTGCTTTTGCTTACTTTTTGATTTATAATCGACTTGGATTGTTTTTTTCCAAAACATTGATTGATTGATTATCCCAATAAATATTATCATCATGCATACTAATATTGCCAATCTAACTGTTTGAAGTGCACTGTATTGTTTTAAATGCTGTTTTTTAATCGAAAGTGTATTCGGTGTTTGTAAAATAAAGGATGTGTCATTATTTCTTGAATTCACTTACAGTTAAATTCTCTTTCGGAATGATTTTTAGATTTTAGTGAACAGCTTAAGCTGATGCATCAAAAGCATAAAAGACAAACCAAAAAAATTACATGAGCTAAGATATTTTTTCCTAAATACATCTTCATTGCTTCTATATGGTAATATATATGTATGTATCGAGAATTTACGGTTCGAATGTTAGTGAAATTGAATTTTGAAGCTGGTAAAAGCATGTTTATAAACCTGTAATATTATCGGTATCAATGTCTAGGGTTGTGTAGGAGATTATACAAATTTTTCCAGTTTGAAAAATTTATTTTTCTGTTGTCTATTCTCATGGCTTTATCTATAAATGCACGTTTGATTTCAAAATTATAAGATAAATTTGCAGAGTTGTCTTAATTAGTTATAGTTGCTAATGGTTTATCTAAAAGTTTATCGTTTGTCATCTCATCATATATTCCCTCTAATAGACGAACGAATGATGGTACTTAAATTACTTACTCGAATATAATAAGGATACCATATAATCGATATCATTAAAAGAAATTTATTTTAAAACTTGTAATTGTATATACTCATAGATCTCAAGCCTTGTTCTCTGTGTTTATTGCCTAGTAAAATCTCGAAATCGCTAACTGAAATTTCCATTACTTCGATCTTCCTTCATTCTTCGCAAAGCTATCCTTAAGCACCATGTTGAACTAAGTAGATAATAAGGAACTTAAAATTTTTAACAATGCCCACTTTGAGGATTTGTTTGCTTATTATTCAATAGATTGTCAGTTTTTCGCTTGTTGCTCTGCAGAAAATACATTCTTCAATGAGCTGAATAACGAAACGTTTTTCTAAATGAAGATGGATTTTCACTGTTTACATCCCAATTTTTATTACTTGAAGGCTTTCGGACCAGAGAAATAAATTTATACAAGAAGTACAAGACATTATTATGCAAGTTAAGAGCTCTTAATTTTTCGAAAATATACATGTGATGCATCTGCCTTCTTGGATATAACAGTGAAACATACTATTTCAAGTCAGTCAAAATATTAATCACTCTAATATGAACAGAACAAAATCCACCTCGAAAGTTGACCTACTACAATAGTCAAAGATTGCAAGAACTAGTGCCTTGAATTATTTCTTTAGCCTCTACTTTTTTCCTGCATACTTGTCCCTCAAAAACCATCGTCCGTCGAGTCAGTATATTGGGAGACGTAGTTTACTTATTTCTCAACCACCTGGGTTCATAAACAATCATCGAGTCATCAAATGATTTTGGGTGTTATCGTTTTCCTAATATATGAATAGCTCAGTCGATTACTAAAAGATATATGAACAGTGATTTATAGACCCATTTCACAAAAACATCGAAACTTAAGAACATCCTCTTGTCTTACTGGGCGGATCGATCTTAAAACTGAACAGAGTCAACTCCTGTACCTTCACCGCTGAACATTTGTTGCTACGCAGTCTGTTGTTTGTCTGCTCATGTTATTGTTTAGTAGCGACCGAGTTAGAACTAACTATGATCACCAGCTAATACTTATAGCGATCACAACACTGAGAAGAATAACTATTCCACAGTAAAAAGTTAATTTGCTGGCGATTTCGTGGTATCGAGAGAATAC